TGCCCAGTGATTGTTTCAAGAAACCAAGCACATTTCCAATGTTACTGCTGCAGCTCCATCCAAAAAAATAACTAAACAGATGAAGCTCTGCTGTAGGAACAGATCTGTTTATAGAACATACTTTACTTTCAGTAGACCAAATATATTCAGCCCTCTCAAATAAATGTGTACATTAAAAACTTGATAACTGGCTAAATCAGAAAAAAAAAAATGGAATAGCAAATGGGAAATTACATAACCAAGAGCAAGTTCAATAAGAATGTGCATTTGAAATACCTTGTTCCTGCTCTATTGAGGCTGAATCTGAAAGCTTTTTTTTTTTTTTTTTTAATTCTAATACTGCCATTAGGAGGTAGGGAGGAACAAAAAATGGGAAGGAAAGATTTTGTTTTAGAAAGCTTTCATTTATAATGCTTATGACCTAATTTTTGCCTTGTGCTAGAATATAAGTGTGTAAGAATGAGTCTAAATGCACAGCTATAGCAATGCTGACTTCCTTGCTTTTACCATTCAGGCTAAAAAAAAAAAAAAAAAGGAATAAATAAATAAATAAAGGCCACCAAAACAAAAGAGAAATACTATAAATCTTCTTTTCCTTTCTTTCTTTCCCTCCAGATTCCATTGTCCTTATTATTCAAGCAGCTATTTCCACAGCCATAGGCTTGTGACAGCACCTGGCAGCAGCTTCACGAAGTTATCCGAGAATTACAAAACGCCTTCACAACAGCAGACAAAACCACTCCATTCAGCCCTCCTCAGCTGAGCTCCCTTTGGCTCCCACCCCGAGCCACCCCCCTGGAACAGCCCTCCCCGTATCACAAGGCTGCCCAGATCACGCCAACAGAGCCCAAACCCAAGGAAATCACAATAGGATTCAAAAACACTGAGGAAAGAGGCCAACCAGTGGTTTTATCACGGACATTAATAACAGCAGAATCGGGCCATAAACCCAATACCATAATCCCCCAACCTTTACTCAGGTGTAGAGGTACGGACACACATATGTTTGCACAGCACATAACAGGCTGAAGGCAGCATGTAGTAATAATTATGTAAGTAACAGTTGGCTTCATTGATTCAGCTCTTTCGAATAAAGGTTGCAGGAGCAGACAGGAGATTACATATCATATCTTTCTCATCCTTCAGTTTATTCCAGTCTAACATAGAGGACGTGGGCGACATCCACCAGCACAGGACCCTGAGCACACAGGTAATCCAGCAAAAATCACTGCTGCTATATTGGGCCAGATAATATCACCTTATCTATCGCCGTCACCGCAGTTTGTATGAGCTGCTTATCTGCAAGAGCTATTAGGTCTGAACTTTAGTTCAGTCATTTGTTTGATCTTGTTTTCTTCTGCATTCATTTGAAGCTCCGCATATTGTGCTTTTAATTTTGTATCAAAACATATAAAGGCCTTCAATATTATTTCTGCTACTGATGCAATACGCTCTTAGCAACAATGAGAACAGCGAGCAAGTCCTGAAAATAATAAACCATGCTAGGTCTGGAGGCTATGAAATCAGCTCAAACATACTGCTGGGAGCTGTGCTGCCTGCACGGAGACACATGGCTTTCCATGGGCACCAGCCCATTTATGAGTCATGAAACATAATGGAGTATTGTTGAAAGCTTTGGGACCATGAGAAATTATCTACTGCCCGGCATGGGGAATGGTATAAACTGGCAAGGAACTGGAGTTACATTCTTTTACAGAAATGAAATCAGACAGCCTTGGCCTGCTTTCCAGTATACAAATCCACAAATCATGAAGACAACTCCTTAATGTGAATTTGTTTATTTATTTATTTTTAGATATAGTTGCCACTGCACTAACCAGCCAGGGAAGCCACCCTTTTCTCTCCCTGACAAAGCCGTAATAAGGCAGGAAACCTGGAGAAGACAAAAAGGAACGGGGCAGACATGAACAGCATATCAGCATGAGATGCAAAAGGAAATGCATCTTTTCCTCTCCCACTGCACATAATATCCCCCTCATGATGAGGATTTGGTACACACAGGCAAGTAGAGCCAAAGCAATTTGCTTAACATCGAGGTGGAAAAATGACTTGGTGCCACAGCTGTGCATCTCTGTGCAGAGCTGAGCTGTCAGTGTGGAGCCATGTTCTATAGTGGAGTGCACAAGCCTGGATTTTTAACCCCAGCTTCATCATGCTCCTCAATCCTGGGCCTTCAGTAAAAGTTTAAGAGCCCCTCAACTGAGAAAGCAAAAGTCCTATTTGCAAATGAATACTTGAGCACTTCAAAAATTGTCTAATTGCAAGAACACAGAGCTTGATGGATAAATGCCTGATGAGGGAAGTAAAGAGGACAATGACAGACCCTCCTCAGTGGTATTCAAAGGGGCAAAGGGTATTTTACAATAAAGGAAACTTCATTTAACAACAAGAAAACAAAGTTATTTTACTGTGAAGATGGTCAAACACTGGAACAGGTCGCCCAAACAGGTTGTGGAGTCTTGATCCATAGAGATACTCAGCATGGACCAGATCAAACTACTTTAGCCACCTCTCCTTTGAGCTGCATGGGGAGAGGGAAGTGGACTAGAAGACCTCCAGAGGTCCCAACCAACTTCAGTAATGTTGGGATTGTGGGAAGCATTTCCTCCATTTTGTCCCCAGGATAGAGGCATAAAACTGAAAATGCAGTATTGATGGTATGTCCCACTGCACCAGTATGACTTGCCCAGGTCAGACATCTCCATGAAAGTGTGAGAGTGCAAAGTCAGACTACAAGGGATCAGAAGATTTGCATGAACTAAATGCCTTCCTAATCAAAAGAAATGCAGAAATCCAGAAGAACTAAACAAAAAGTTAATGATGTGAATGTTCATTTGAATATTTGTATAGACTTGTCCCTCCCACGTCTTCCATTAGTTTGCCATGAGCTTTGGAAAGATCAGATTTTACTGGCACAAGCGCCCATGGAAAGCAAAATTTGCATTTGTGTTTTCTTTGGAAATGTTTACACACTCAGCCAGTCAAGGAGACAGTAACAATACTATGTGTATTCTCTAACAAATTTCAGCTAACTGATATAATCTGGGTACTGATTTATTTTATGTCATATTCAGCGCAGAAAGGTGAAAAAAAGTACAGACTAACAGCTCCTATCAGTTGTTAACATGTAATTAAAACACATCATAGGAAATTATGGTCTATGTACCAGTGATGAGCAAGCTGAAAAGGACAGGATTGAATGCATATTCACTACGAATCTACAAATGCAACCTTATTTTCCACGTGCAGCAGTTGCATCACACTACACAACTAAAAATAAATGAGGAGCTCCTTTTCCTCCCTCTGTCATGGATGATCTGAGATGGGAGCAGGAGGATCTCCCTTCTCTCTGCTTCCCCAAGGAAATCTCAAACTGATCAAGGCACAAACGCTGCCTGAAGCACACAGTGACATTTTTTCCTAAGAAGATATCAGTGGCTCTTAGAGACCTCACTTCGGCTTCACATTTGCAAATCCCTGTGAGCTGTACAGGCACAAAATGACCATTAGACTTCAAAACAGAGGGGGAATGGGTTTGTATAGTTCTAGAAGCTGAGGGCAGACAGCACTTCGGAACACTACTCCTAACTATGTAGACGCATCTCAATTCTGGCACCTAGGTTTTAAAAATTAGGCTTGAGTTACAGCAAAAGAAATCAACAAAAAACACAAAAGGATATGTATAATCTCTGGAGAAGAAAATACACATTCTTAGTACCTGCCTGTTACTGGAAGCAATACAGCTTTGATCCTAGCTGCAGAAACTTCTGAAGATGAAATTACAGCACAGAAAAAGTACCAACACCACTATTCTACATCTCCAAGGTACTTCTACTGATACTGATCTCGTTAGCGTAAACATATGGCTGGCAGCAGTGGAAGCTTCAGCTCAGACTCAGTATGTTTGCCTGAGCTATTGGGAATAATCTTGGCAACTAAACTTCTGCCAGTGCAGTTACATCGTTATTGGTACGGGTACATGAGGTGGAACAATCACACCTTCAGATGGATGGCAGGCGTACTCTGCAAGGCAGAATAAATGCTGGAGACCCAGCAATCAAGCAGCTATGAACAACAAAAAAAAGGAGACTGTGAATTTGGGGAGGCCTTAGGCAAATTTTTGGACTGGTGAATGTCTGAGTTTCACTCCAAGAATGAGATATCTTTCCTTTTATTGGAAGCCATCACTACATAAAGTTTTATATTCTCCCCATACACACAGCTAATGAGAACTCTTGCTTATTACTGCTGTTGCTGGATAACCAAAACGTCACCTTCATACCTCCTTGTGGCTTGCCATTCCACTTCATATTCTCTAAAAGCACAGATGGTCCATAAAAAAATGAAAAGCTCAATGTTTGTGACAGTCACATCTACCTTAACATCTTCCAGGTTCTTGGCTGGGATAATGCATCCCTTTAACACAGCAAAAGTAAATGCCCTCTTTCATACAAACTAGACTTTTGTTTTCCACAGAGCTTTCCCAAATCCTGGACACATGCTCATAGTAAATTCAGCCTTTGACTTTACCTTTTCTGATCCAATAATTGGGTGACTGGATCAAACTTGAGTTTAAAACAACGTCATGACCAATGGTCTTACGATAAAGTCTAAGAGGGGAACCAGAGAGGGTTTGATCTCCAATCTACCACATAGGGTTGTGGAAATAAAATCTGAAGTCCTAGAACTTTGTGAATTTGAATAAGTGGTGATCTTTGGCCAAGCAAAGCAATGAAGGTGAAAGAAGGGCTTCAAAACAAATATTTTCCCGCATTCCTAAAAGGCCTTTAGTTAAAAAAAAAAAAAAGAATTTATAATAAAACCTAAAGCAAGCTCTAAAAACTTCAGAAGCCAAGGGCACAAAGAAGTTCCAAGACAGTCAGAAGAGCTGTAGTACTGCATAAATTATGGGGAGAAAAGAAAACACTAACTTAATGACATCGGTTAAAAATGAAATCAGGGTGGATTTATTTATTTACTTAAGCTACCCATTCTAAAGTATTTTTTCTTCTTCCCCTTCTTTTTAATGATTGCCTTCTTTTCCTTCAGCTATTTTGTACCACTGATTATTCTGGAACAAAAATCTCACCTCATTGAATTGTAGCGCTTTTAAAAGTTATGCAGTATAGGAAGTAAGTTCAGTAATTGTCCATACTCTTGTGGGAAACCAAGAAAATGATAAAAGCGAGGGGCAATTTACAAAAAGAATGTCCGTTGCATCAGCCATTCCATCTGTGAGGCTTTGTTCATTATGTAGATTACACCACTGACACATGGAAGAGACATTTCAACGTTGCAGCCTAGATGAAAGGAGTTAGGAGTGTTTTATTTCTCAAACAGAAAATCATATAGAGCGCCTCGCAAGTTTACAAGGACTACTAATGTGTTTTGCCTTTGACCTTTTGCATATACTTTTCCTTTTTTCAATCTCTAGACTAATTAGAGTGATAAAGCAACTCACATCAGTTGTGACTCATACAACCTTTAAGAGAACAATGCGGTACTACCCTCAGACAGGGAAACAGCTCAAATCACAACAGGCAATAACTTCAGGCCTGGGGATCATTCCCACGGATTCTTAGATATCAAGCTCAATAGCAAGGTCAGATTAGGTAAGTCTATTTTTAGACTGATTCTCTACCAACACATCCAAGTCCAAGCCTTTGTACTTGGAAAGTGCAAATAAAAATGGCTAGCTTCATGTTTTACTTTTGCACGCATACCACTGGAAAAAAAACCCACTGCTGGTGATTTTGAGAAAATTCTGGCCCTGGGTGTGGCTGCCCAATGTCTTCTGATGGAATTTGCCCAGAGATATCACCCAGACGAGATGCAACTCAGTCAGTTCCTAGAAAAGGAACACAGACTGTAAGTATATTGTCATGCATACAATAAAGATATAGCAACCTGGCCTTGTTGAAATAAAGATCAAAACCAGCTAACAACTTAATGAGCGATAAAACCCAATTGCAAGCATTAACAGCAGCCCTAAGAACATCTCAGGTCTGCTTATCCAAGCTATTCTCCTGTCAAGTCACGGCAGGACAACTTTTCCTCCCATTTCCAGCCAGACCACGCTGGACTACCTTCAGATCACTCCCCACAGAGACCGAATGCATTTCAAGCCTTGGCATTCTCCTTCGGTTAGCATCCAGTTTCCCACCTTCATGCTGCTCTGCCTGCACTAGTATTGTAGCCCACGCGTTTGCATGTGATGTGTCAAGCACACCTGCTGTTCACTTTTCTCAACAGTGAATACATAGGGAAGTCTGTGTGAATGATTGTGAAAGGACGGAAGTAAGAACAAGTGTGCAATTGTTCTGAGGAGTAGAAGGTGATGAATTAAAAAATGAGGGGTAGTGTTGAAATAAACTCAATACAGTATGAAACAAATCAAGCTAAGTTACAGATACCTCTTTGCTATAAGCTTTCAGATGACAGCTCGCTCTGTGCCCCCCCCAGTTTCCATCCCAGCTGTTGAACCACCCACTTGCTGTCCTTATGTTCTGTGACATGCAGAGCAGATGCCAACAGTCCCACATCATAAAAGACTTCAACTCATGCAGAGCCTGAGTGTTCTCTGCTCAGCTGTCACAGCCGTAGCTTGTTGGGAGATGAACTGTAGATTTCTTTTGCAGAAATGCTATATTTCTCCCAGTTTCTAAAAGAGCATTCATCGCCCTCTTAGGAAGAAGCAACTGGGCTAAGATGTCAAACCCACGCTTCTCTTCACATGCATTTACTCAGCTAACGAGAAATGAGGAATGCCTGACTGTATGCAAAGTCAAATTCCTCCAGAGATCAAGCACACTTAGATCTGGCCATGAGAGTAACTAATAATATGCACGTATTATGAACTATTTACAGACGTAACCCAACTGCAATAAAGTCAACGGTTTAACTCTCCCTGCTTCAAAGGGAAAGGGATTTCAGTGCATACTTGCAGCATAGATCACTGCTAGGCTGGCTCATCTCTCTGAGATAAGTTTAGTAGCTGAAGTCTGTACAGAACAAATCCCCAAACTATACCTACTTCTTGCTGCAGCAAATTCTGACAGTTCTCTGCTTCCCACTTTTTCTAAATGCCACTACATAGAATAGAGGTAATAAACTATAGAACTATGACACGTACAAACACTTTGGGATGGACAGAAGAGCTGAAAATCGTGAATCTTCTCTCTGGATCAACACAAGATGTAGAGGCTATGTCTCAATGATATTATTAACTAAGCATAAGGAGCTTTACTAAAATGTCCTACAAGCTCCTGCTCTCTCTAGACACTGCCAGAAAGAACACACAAAAAATAACACTGCAGCACTGTACTCTAAGAGAACGCAGTGAAGATGCCTTTGCATCTCTACTGCATGCTTACCAGCATGAGCTCTTTCTCTACAAGAACAAATTTAATTCAGCAGTTGGAACACGAGAATGGAATCCAGAACTCCTGAGCATTGCCAGCCATTTGTCCCATTTGTTCAGCCATCTTGCACGAGCCACTTAATCTTTCTTCCTCTTTTTTTTTTTTTTTTCAGGCTGGTTACCTGAAATAGGGCCAGAAAAGCAAATGGGAAATTTCCAGTCCACTTCAATGGTGCCCACAAACTCATAGGCCTCTACATCTATATTTAGGCATTTAAATATAGAAGCGTGGGTTTTAGAGATTATTGAGCCCACAGCTGTCACTGATCTCAGAGAGGAGAAAGGAAGAACAAATCTCTGGTTCAGAAAGTTTCTCTCTTGCAGACTACTGCCAGCCCGGAAGGTAACATCAAGGGAAGTACCATGTGCTATAGATTCCTCCTCACACAGCTGCTGTGACCCAAGCCAGACACGAGGCAGTACTACTTGAGTTACTGGGATGACTCAGTACAGCTCTCTCTGTTCTTTCCAACAGAATCAAGCCCTAATGATTGCAAAGATGCAAAAGCACTGTCATGTACTCTGATAAATGGGCTCGTCATCACTGTGCATGCTTAGAAGGCTTTCCACAGAGAAACCAAGCAAATTCTCACAGAAATAAAGAGAAGCACTGCTCTCTGGAGACAGTCCAAATAGACTGGCATTCTGCAGCATCCCCACTTCATCACCAATGCAGAAGTTCATTGAACTTCTTGATACTCTGCAACAGCCAAAGCTATGTCCCCAGTGCCAGAACCTCAGGTAGGCAGAATTAGGGAGGAAAAGCAGTAGGTACACTGCTGGCATCACTTCACCGCCACCAGAACCAGCAAAGCAGAAAAGCAGTGTGCAGAGGTATGGAAAGAAAGAGACAGGGCTCAAACTTGATTTATTTTTCCTATTCTTCAAGGGAGAGAGCACATAGCTTCCTTGCACATGTCTTTTCATTTATGTCATTGGGAATTGCACTAAATGGTTTTAATTATGGAAGCTAAGGTAACCTGTATTTCTATGACGTCATGCTTCATTTTGAGGGCTCAGTGAAGGCATCTGCCTTTTGTGCCTTGGATGGTCTCTAGACAAACTATCAGAAAAAAGAGCATGCATTGCTTCTTACTACCTTCCCATAAAGTGTTCATTTGAGTTCATCACAGCCTTCAAGGTCAGTTTAAGATCTCTTCTGCATTTCTGAATCTGCTGCCCAACTTCAGCAGCAGAAGAGAATCCTAAATGTCTGCCTGGTACTCTTCAACAGCTGCTTGTCAGACAGTTTAACTACCATGAACCTTCCCTTGGATCCTCATGCTTACATTTTCAGATTTACATTCAAAACAGTTTACAGGCATTATTCCTAAAGTGGACTGTGGAATTGTAATTATGGTAGGTAGAAATCACCAGTAAGATATACAAGTGTTATACTAAGCATTGAGTCTCAAAACTCAACAGAAAATCATAGCAGCATTATTTGTGCATCTGTAACCCAAAGGTGAGGTTGCAATTTACTCCTATGTTTATTCTCCTTCACCTGCTTTCCTCAAGCTCTAACACAGAGCACACACCAACTGACATCTGTCTCAAACAGAAACAGGCTGCATTTTGCAAATAATAGATGAGACAGTAATATGTTCAGGTAGATTTACAAACTGGCGTGGTTACTACTATGTTTGCCTATGTACAGTGAAGTTCTACAGAAACTCTTCTCCTTGAATCTAGATGCATCTGTCTACAGGAGAACTCTGGACACTGCAAATCCCCATTGCAATAACATGTTCAACTTCTGCCATTTTAGAGAAAAGCAGCAGCAAGAATCCTATTAGAAATAAAACAGTAATGTGCTCCCTCCTGAAAGGGACTCTGGGAGTCAATGGACTTGGAAAACTAAGATCTAGCTGCTTTTTCTAAACTGCTTGCATTCTACACCATGTCATTTTAATGGCCACATCATCCACAGCAGCTAAATCACAGCAGTTCCCGTGTATGCCATGACTTGTGGGATGGAGAGCACTTCAAGGAGCTGAAAAAACCGAAGCATCTCCTGCCCAAGTGTACAGGAAGCTAGCAGAGCACAGTGGTAGGTAGCTTTGACCAACCACACAAAACAGACAGCAGGCCAGCTGCCTGAGTTCACATCACTGAGCCATCCCATTTCCTGCTAGCAGGGGCAAAGCCTGCAATTCTACTCCCTGGCTCAGGAGAAGAGGATGCTGCCACAGGGAAGGGAGTGCAGGGAAGCAAATCAAACCACATGCCCATCTGGAACATGACCTCTGGGTAGCAGTGCACAAGCTGCAGCAATTTCACCTTGTCTGATGTAACCCTGCCTTCCAGCAGGGATGAAAGGAGCAGTCTTGTGATAGGATTGGCTTTGTGATAGGCAGATTGGATTTCACACTGACCTAGTTCTACTGAGGCAGAAAAAAAAATTATCATGAATGTAACAGTGATGGATGTTCCCCTTTTTTTGTACAAAAGTTTGTCAGCTGATTTCTCCTTCAGTTAAACACACCTGTGTTGGTATGTTTTTCCATTTACAAATAACAAATGATCTTCTGTATCACGATCTTTTAGCTCCTGTTGTGTATCTCACTCTCTCCAACAGCCAGAGTGGGAGAAGACAAATGAAATCCTGAAGAAAAAAAATCTAGCAGTTCTTGAGAGTGAAAGTCAGGACTTGTGAAAATACTTGGGCAACAGCCCAAGAAAAGGGCCCAATCCTTAGAACAACTAAACAAAGGAGAGTAGGATCTCATCCTCCATCAGTCTTCAGAAGACAGCGAGAATACACAGAACTGCGGTCCCAAAGCAGAGGGTGTGAAGAATGGCCTCCCTGAGAAATTTGGGAGTGCTGCCCAAGAACCCACTGCCAACTGAAAGGAGATGGAAGAAGAAAGGTAGCCCAGCTATAGACCAGGGAATGCCAGCTTATTTTTGAACCTGTTCTACAATAACTGAAAGCCAAAACGCACCCAGCAGGAATGGGTGGCTCTGGGACTTGCATCACTTGGCTGCAATTGCTGTAATGCATTGTTTCATCCCCTCTGACAAACTAGAGATACTTGCTTCAGGAAATAAAAGTGATAGAGTCAGTCACAGTCTGTGAAACCCACAAAATCCAACCTGAACTTGACCACTTCTTAATGTATACATGGGTAGAGGCTTATTGCTCACTCCACAAAAACCCCACAGCTGTGATCAGTAAGTGTTCTAAACTCTGAGCTGAGCAAGGGAGAGAACTCTGCCACATCTGTTAAGTTCTCATTTTCTCATAACGTGTATGTTCAAAGTGCTCAACAATTAATTTCCCTGAGTGTTTGTTTTTCTCTCAGAATAATCTGCTTCTGTGAGCCCGATTTATGTTCAAGTTCCAGATTGCGCAGCTTCCCTGGAACACCTCATTTTACAGACTAGAAAGGACAGACATTGATTTCCTCGTCTGCCCCTTGCAATCT